TTTCAAATCATTGTACAAGTTTGATAATGAATGAATCATTTTGTCTATTACCATACCATCTACAGTTGACAATAGTGATAATCGATATCACAACTAATCGCATAAAGAGGTGACTGTAGATTACCACGCATACAATTTTATTTAAACTATTAAATTAAATATTTAGTAAGAACCCTAACACATGAGCAGGGCGTAGTCATGATTTTATCGAGAGTGGGTCCGTTTTAAAAAAAAATACATACGATAATATAATTTTTTTAGTTCTTTAAATTATTTGTGATAAATAAAAAAAAAATACTTGATAAATTAATATATGTCGAAACTATCAAGAATATCATTCTATAGGTATCAAACAATTATTTTTTATTTAGTTAGACACTTGCTTTTGAATGGTGTCTTTGTTAAGACCGTTTAGTATCAATAATTCAAGTTGTTGGAAAAAGATTTAATAATGAATCTTATACTATTTAGTATTTACTAACATTTCCCCGCTAATGAAACCAACTTATATGTGTTTAGAGTATTTACAAATTTGAATATCATGTGCTTAACAAATGGGGTCGCCAAGATTCGAACACATGATCTCTACGTCAATCATTCTCGAATAGAAGTGCTCTAAATTTCCTTCTCAGTTAACTATTATACTAATTTAATCATTTTCGTCCTTATGAGCCACCCGTTACACTCTCCCTACCCCTGATTGAAATAAAATTATTTAACAAACTAGATATGATTTGGTGAAAATTTGTTGTATATATAGAATAATACATCTTTAATTTTTGGCAGATCATATGCACCGTTAGTATTTGTACATAGCCCGTCATAAAAACATTAAATATGTCAATATACAACTTATAAATCATACATCAATATTTTAAATGTTAACCATCTCATTTAAATACGTGTTGTTTTTCATACCTAATGAACTATTGTACTTAATTTACCCTTTTCTCTCCCAAGTTAGCCTTAGCACTCAAGTCACGTTAGAGAGCTAAATCATCATTCATTCAAAACTCCCTCAACTCACAAGAATTGAGTGGACTCTCGTTAGAGTTGTATTACTCAACACTTAGATAACATCCACCCCTCAAATGCACGGCTAAGATTCACCCAATCCTACGGTCACAATCACTTCATCCATCAAATATATCAAGAACCATCTTCGAAACTAGATGAACTACGGGTTGACATATTGGAAATGAATTCGGTACGCTTTATTGTAAGTGATTTGCGTTGAACTATTATTATGTAACTATACGATCATTTTTATTATTCTGGTAATTTTTTAACTGTCGATGGATCTACTCCTTTTCACAAATGAATTCTTATTTGTGACTTGATCGTTTGAACTGCAATCTGGAAAACTTATTACAAGTTGCAAGTTGCCCCTTTTGGTCGGACACCTAGCTATGCCCTAGGCCGTAGCATAGGTGCAATTCTACGTTCCTAACTCTGCATCTACTTCAAGCAAACCGCTGACCAAGTTCGACCAAAATCCCATGCTGTATTGAACTAATTAAGCTCATTGACAACTGGACATGCAGTAACAATTTCCAACCCTAGAAACACACACTAGCTCGTTTTATTGGTTTCTTGAGTTTTAAAATAATTTATTAATAGTTTACCAATAATAAGCTAGGAAGCATTAGCCGGCCAATTATTGACAATTGATTCCCAATCATAATTATTCATGGTTCTCGAATGCTTCATATATATATACATATATACCCAACAAATACTTTGATTAATGTCTATATTTGTCTATAATATTGCGTTTTATTGTATATTATTATTTTATCAAAAGTCTTCATTTTATACTAGGATTCATGGGATGTCCTTTGTACACGTCCAATCTCTAAAATGATTTCCGTGGTGTAGTAGCTGGATCTCAAATATATATGTTTAGCAGGAAAAAAAAAGCATTAGTTAGAGTCTTAGAGAGCGTTATGCAATAATAATATTATTGTTAATGTTAATAATTAATTAAGAAAGAATAAACAAAAAACGACCAATTATAGTAAAGCTTAATTTGTCTTTTAAATTTTTCATGTTTATAATTTTGGTTTCAATGAATCTATCTAATCATGCAGATCATATATTAGGTGAGGTGCTGACAATTTACAATATATACATTAAAAGTGCCAATTGTATTTTAGTGGGTTCCATAAATGGATACTGTAGGCTTTTTTCATTTCTCTTTCTATAGTTTTTTCTGTTTCCTATTGATTTTAAGTTTCTCTTTACTGTAAAAATAGGCATGTATAAATAATGCCTTTTTTATGCTTAGATCAAAATTTCATTAAGAACAGACAACTAATAGTAGAAAATTATGGCGCTCCTCAAACCAACATAGTCGGTACAATAATACTTCCTATATATGTGAGGAAGCAAACTGAAATAAAACTACCACAATCCCCTAGAATTGAAACAATCTAGCAAGCTCTGGTCCAATTGACAGCGATACTCAATGATCCACTTCATCTGTGCAACAATCAGGGAAGGATGCCTTGCTCCAACAGAGCCATACATTCTGGAACACCGCTCCCTCCATATCAAACAAAGCACTACACTCCATGATAAACGATTTAAACTCACAGTAGTAGATGAACCACACCGGCGAGAAATACACCACTGCAACACTATTGGCCAATCTCCCAAAGTTGGCGGAGCACCAACCTGCATAACCTGATCAAGGACGCTCTTTGTGAAAGCGCAGGTTACAAAAAGGTGATGCCTAGTCTCCAAACCTCCAGGACATAGCAAGCAAACACCAGAGAGAGTGGCTTACCCCAGGAAATCAGTCGATCCTGCAACTTTAATCTATCATTAATTAGAAGCCAGAGTATGAAACCATGACGAGGAACAATCATTTTGTCCCATACAAGACTGCCCCAGGGCACAATGTTACTTTTCTGTCTTAAAGAGTTCCAGATTCGCTTCACATGATAAGATGCCATTACTTCCCCATCCCATGCCAAGCATCCTCTCAATCGCGAGACAAAAGGCCTAGCTACCACTCGACATTGGAGAATCCTTTTCCAGATCCAGGAGCCTGCAACAGAAGCCTTAATATCCCAAATCGAAGCATGCTTGACACGATAATGACGAACCCAGGCCACCAAGATTGAACCTTCCTCAGCAAGTATCGCCCAGAGATGTCTAAGAACACATGCCTTGTTCCATATCACAAAATTTCGAATCCCAAGTCCACCTTCATTCTTTGGCCGAGTAAAAAAGTCTCATGAAACAACAACCCTCGACCTCATTGATGAATCATTGATATCCCAAAAGGAACTTACTACAGATGGACTCCACCTCCTTAATAACAAACTGAGGAAGAAGGAATATGCCCATCCATAATGGCAGAACACTAGTTAATACTAATGTAATGAGCTGCAACCGACCAGCAAAAATTAAAGATTTTGCCCTCCAGCTACATATTTTGGCAGTGATTTTCTCCACAAGGACACGACATTCAGCTCTTGTAAGCTTTCCTGTGATGAGTGGGACACCTAGTATATATAATGCCTTAACAAAATAAATTCTTTAAATTTTTAGGAATTATTTTTGAAATGAATATTTTATTGTTTGGAATATATAAGAATTCATTTTCAATTTTAAATCATGCTAACTGAGGTTAGTTTTCACAAATCGGAGGAATGAAGGTCGAATTTCTAAATGAATTTCACAAGTATTTTGATAATTATGATAAAATAACATAAATATCATCAATTATAAATTAAATTACCCAAATATATAATTTGGCCCCAATACTCCATATTTGCACGCGTAATCTTCTTTGCTCAGCCGCTGCTTAACCTAATATATAACAATGAGGAGATTGATCCATCTTGGCTCAAGTGAAAATAGGTTTACAATGAATGTTTTTAGAATGTGGGTCTTCAAATTGTTTAATATTTTTTACGGACTTTGCTTTTTGCTTGATCGGATCATAACTTCAGCAATTGTATTTTTAGAAGATAGACTTTTAATGAGTAATAGCAATGTTGTTTTTGCTGGAATTTCATAAGGATACAAACTTTTAATTTAATTCAATTCTGAACGTATTTCAAACATGATTTGAAAATTTAATTCAATTAATTTCTAAAATTTGAAAAATAGTATTCCAAATATAGGAATTCATTTTAAAATCAAATGAATACTCAATTCATTTAATTAAAAGTGGTGTGTAAGTCTCAATGAGGAAGAGACTCAAGCTGTGAAGTTAAATTATATTCTCTTCGTTGTCTTTATAAAGCTATGTTCTTCTTGGAACTGAAAACGATATCTATGCACCACAGAGTCAATAAAACAAAATCAAGAAGCTAACTCGAAGGAACCCAGAATTGTGCAGCCTCATCTTCCTACAGCAGCACCAAAACTTCAGTTCTAATTACCTTCACCGGTTCCACAACTCTGCTAGCTCCCTCAAATGATCTTATACATTTATATCTAAGTAAAGAACTAAAGTTTACTCGTGGGTCTTTTTTTAACAAAACGTAAGACCTAAGATGGTTTCTGAAATGGACATGAAAGCATCCTCAACTATCATATAAACCATCAAGTTATTCTCCTTCTTCTGTGCTTATAATGTATCTCTGTCCACTTTCACATTTCTACATCTACTAAACTGGTTGCCCCTTTGTTTATACATTAATGAAGAGGGAGAAAAAAGTTAAAAAGATAAATTAAACCTTGTAATTGAAAAATACAATAACTAACCTAACCTTTTTATATTGCAACCAACTTTCCAAGACAGCAGCTTTAGTATTTATCATTTTTAGGAGCAAGTCCAAACATGACCAAACTTATATATAATTGTGATTGTTGTTAATTATAATATAGGAATTACACACTAGTAGACTCTTTATATATATGGTCGGTCTCATCATTGAATTATGCCAGCCCATTAGAGATAATTGAATTGAACAACTAAACCCTTGATTCTCTCTCTTTCTCTCTCTCTCTGCATTCCATTTTCTTGGGGAGGTTCAATGAAAATGGGAAGCAAATCGCAAGAGCAGAAGCCGAAGCTGAAGCACAAGAAGGGGTTATGGTCGCCGGAGGAAGACCAGCGCCTCCGCAGCTACATCGTCAAGCACGGCCACGGCTGCTGGAGCACCGTCCCCATCAACGCCGGTCAGTCACTTCATCCATCTATCTCTCTACCTCTAAAACTCAGACATAATTAAGGAAGCATTTACATTGTCACAAACTTCGTTAACTAGTTAACTGGGTAAAGATCAAAATGTGTCATTTTCTAATCGCCGTACTTATAATCCAGAGCATGAATCGTACTAGTAGTACTACGTTATATTACGAGTATTGTTATATAATTTGACATAGTTATATTCCTTATAAGAATCGTAGAAGTTAGATGTTTTTCATATTAGTGTTAGCGTTATTAGAATTCTATCGGTGCACTTTATTTATACAATCTTAAGTTGTCACGACTTCTTGTGACAACCTTTTTTTTTTACTCTACATTTTTTTATGCAGTAATAGTACTACTATCTTCTATGCTAAGCTTGGTTTCTGATGACAAAACAACGTGGATTACCTTTTTAGTGTCAAAATCATCCTTCGGTTAATATTAATTATGAAACGGGGGGGATTTATTTATTGTCATTTGGCTTGTGGAGTAAGTAATCATGATGGATGTGGAGATATCTAATAGAGGAGGGACAGAGATAACGACTTATTATTGTTGATTATGTAATGTACTTATTATTTATCACCAATGTACTGAATAAGTCCCGACTTAAGTTGACTTTAGATGAGAGAAAATTCATCATCAAAACTAAACAATAGTTTAATAACTAATTATGTGTGTGGTAATTGATTAATCATGCAGGGCTTCAGAGGAATGGGAAGAGTTGCAGGCTGAGATGGATTAATTACCTTAGGCCAGGTCTCAAACGTGGCTTGTTTTCCTCCCATGAAGAGGATACAATCCTCGCCCTCCATCGCCACCTCGGCAACAAGTAAGCTCTCTGGATTCGAATCTTGAAGTCAAACATTTCATTTGTTTACATAGAAAGTTCTCGTAACAATTTGTCGGTAGAACAATTACGTTTAAAATGAATGAAAAAACTCGATTTATACTCTGACTTTGAATCATTTGATTTTACTATTATCACATATTCACATGTGAATAAATAAGTATATTCTAATTAGTTTATTTCTTTCTAGATGGTCCCAAATCTCACAACATCTACCGGGAAGAACAGACAACGAGATTAAGAATCACTGGCACTCTTACCTCAAGAAAAAGGTCCTCAAAGAAAACGCGTCATCAACGCCACCCGAAACGACGCCGCATAGCGAAATCCAGCGATATTGTTCCAGCTCGTCAATCACCGACCACTATTCTTCCCCATCTCCGGACAAACCCACACTTATTCCGGCATCGCACTTCCGTGAAAACTCACCGCCGCCGTCCACCGCCGACCAGTGGGACCCACAGATTTTTAACAACGGTCACCATCACGAAAACGGGCCACGTCCCGCTCTGCCGAAGCTCATGTTCGCCGAGTGGCTATCGCTGGACAGCTTCGCCGCCACGTCGGCAGCGCCGTTGGTGGGTTGCAGCAATACTAAGGGGTTCGCCGGCGGGAGTGCTGATTTCGGACCTGACGTCAGCGGGGTGTTTGGCGGTGATAATAATAACGGTTTGTTTCATGCGTACCCGTTGTTTCACCAGGGGACAAGCGGCGGGCAGAACTCGATGACGACGACGGTGAGCGACGGATCGGCCAGCGACGTTTTCTCGTCGCAGTTCAGCTTCGACGATCAGAGCTCGGCCGCCGACGCGAATAATTATCAGTTCGTCGAGTTCTGTAGCGATTTCCAGCTCAGCGGGAATGATGTCATGTACATATGAAAAAAGGGAGCACACGGCAGTGTTCTAGACGTACTCTGATTTTTGTTTTTGTTTTTTTTTTCCTTTTTGTCTTAATGTGTGTTATTGCAGTTAATTTGGGACAGGGAGAATAATCTCTAATTACACTTTGGATTAATAATTGAATTAATGACGTTTACCCCGTCATTAAGCTAGCTGTACTATTTAGTAGGGGTGGGCATTGGGTGGGTCGGGTGGATTTTGACCATAAAATGCACCCACCCGCGCTTAAGCGGATTGCTAATTTTTAACCCACCACCCACCCACATTTAGTCTCGGGTTGGGTCGGGCGGATGGTGGATGATGCGGGTGGGTTTGTGGGTTCACCCACATCACAATGTATATAATATAAAGGAGTCAACTTGACATGATAATAGGTGAAGAGAATCATCGAGGGAAACAAGAAGTTGAAATAGGGCGAAAAATGTCGAATTAGTTCTTAAATTGGATAGAAATTCTATTGTGAAAGAGTTTTCTACAGATTGAGACGATTAATAGGTGCAAGGAACTAAGAAAAATATTTCCACAAAGGAAAGAGCGGTGATCTAGGCACAAGAATTAGAGGAAAAAGTAAAGGGAAGAAGAGGGGATCTCTATTTGGAAGGTTGGCTTTGAGGTTCAAACTCCAGGAGCAGTCCGAGTTTATATCTAACGTCTCCACTCTCCTCTCTCTAGCGCCAACGACTTTGATCTTTTTGTTGTTGGGTTGAGCGGGTCACCCGCACACTCACCCACAACCCACCCACCACCCGGCGGATGGCTCCCAGTGCAACCCGTCACCCACCCACAGACCCACCCACTTAACGAAATTCGGGTCAAATGCGGGTGGGTCGGCCCAAACCCGCGGATGATCCGCCCACATGCCCAGCCCTACTATTTAGTATTTACTGTCAACGGGCGAGGATTCTAAGTGACGGAACCGGTGTAATTAGTGGTTATTCTTTTTTACTAGCTTATAACCCGGCCCGTTGGCCGGACTGTTCATATTTGATTATTTATATTTTTATGTAACGTTTAAATCTATCAATTCGTTTAATTTTTTTTTTACAATCCTTCAATCGAGATGATACATAAAATAGGTCGAACACTCGAAGAAATGCCATCATCATTTAAGAATATAAAAATGTATCATTGATTTCATTTTCATAATGATAATATTATATTAGTTAGTTGATTGTCAAGAGAGATAGAATATAAAAGCTCACGGGAATTATCACACAACCCATATATAGTTTGAAACTGAATTTGAAATCTCACAATCCTACATAAAGGGTTCAATACCATTTTAGGAACAATATGTCACTAATAAAAAAGAAATGGAGAGTTGTTGGTTCAAGTCAACTACATACTAAAAACTAAGCTAACAGGGAAACATCAAAACTTGGGAGCAAACGACAAAATTTGGGTCACCTCCATACTAATAGACTTGATCAAAGTCATAAGGCACAAAATTAGACACTCGTTATCTATCAGTTTCAGTAGGTTGAATAAAGAATCGACCTACTTCAGTACATCAACCAATGATTCCTCATTTTAAGATAGAAATAGGTTGTGGTAGCTGCAAAAACATAAACCTAAAGAGCCAATAGCCACTCTCCAAATTTTTATCCACTCTATTTTCAATCTCAAGAGGCATATGTTTCAACTAAACATTCACTTTTTAATTCTCTTTCTGCAACTCCATTTATGCTACTTTGATGAACCTTCTCTCTGTGGCCCTCAATTTCTCTTCCAATTGGGGTTCTTGTCAACTCGGTCTTCAACTCCTCAATTTTCTTCTTGTGTTTTGCCAACTCATCTTCTGCACAACACTCATCTCCAATTCCATCAATATGTTCATCTCTCTCTTGTCTTCCTTCACCTGCTTTAGTCCACTTCCATGCCCTTCAATACCCTCTCCATTTTCGTTACTATCCTCATCATCTCTCACTTCTCTCTCTTTAACTGCTCCAGTTTCATTTCCATGTCTTTCAATACCCTCCTCAATTCGCTCACTGCCATCTCCAACTCCCTCTTCTATACAATTACCTGCTGCAGTGCAACTTTACCTTCTACCAAATCCAAAAACAATTTCTTCCCCCACCACTTCCATTCTCAAACTCAATTCCAACTCTTCTACTCCAAGGTCAAATTCATAACTACTTGATTGAACTCCATTCTATTCGCCATGGATTGATATCGGATTTGAAATCGTTTATTTGCCTAGCTTAAATCCTAAAGAATAAATCTGTAATGCCAAGAGAATCCGGAAGATTAATTTTCAAATGTAGCTAGCGACCTGAGGCCTTCGATGAAATGTTAGATCTCGGGGATCTCCCATTTGATAGCACAAATTTGGAAGCAAACTGACGATTTTATTCAATGATCAAAGACACTTTAAATACAGGGTTTCAGCCCACAGAACTTGCCCTCAACTAACAAACTCTAACGTCAGGATCCTAGGTTTCAGTTTCCACTACTAACATGACTCTATGACTTGAGCTGCAAGCTCTCAACAAACAAAGACTCAACTAACAATAAATCAAAACGACATAGCTGATGTTTGGTTCGTCTAGCTGCTAATCCAAACGACGCCGTGACAGCTTTATTCAAATCTTCCCGCCAACTCCCTCAATCTTCAGCAGTCCAGGGTCTGATTCATAACAAATCCTCCCCATGAACTGAATACTATTGAATCAATACTTCAGTTCATACCCACATCAGGCTGCAGCTTGAATTCTTCATCATCACATACTCCAAGACTGCTCCTCATCACTTGAAATGCTTCCAGGCTCAAAGACTTGGTCATAACATCTGCATTTGTTCATTGGTTCTGCAGTGTTCCATAGAAATTTCTTCCTCCTTAGCAAGCTCCCTTAGATAGTGAAAACGCACATCAATGTGCTTGCTTCTCCCATGAAGCACAGGGTTCTTTGATAGCTTAATTGCAGAGCTATTATCACACATTATCCTTGTAGCTGCTGCCACACTCTTCTTCCATCACATCTGCCTAAGAATTCTTCTTAACCACATGCATTGAGCAGCACAATAGGAAGCTGCAACATACTCAGCTTCAGTGGTTGAGAGGGTGACTACATGTTGCTTTTTCGAGGACCAGGAGACAGCTCCACCTGCAAGGAAGAAAACATAACCACTTGTGGACTTTCGATCATCCAAGTCCCCTGCATAGTCACTGTCAGTGTAGCCTAGCAAGCATTCTCCTTCACTGAATTTCTTGTACCAGATTCCATGAGTTGCTGAACCTTTTAGATATCTTAAGACTCTTTTTGCTGCTAACATGTGCTGCCTAGTAGGTGACTCCATAAATCTGCTTAGAAGGTACACCGAATGCATAATGTCAGTCCTGGTGGCTGTGACATAAAGCATACTTCCAATGAGCTGCTTATATTCAGTGGAGTTTACTAGAACACCATCTCCTGCTTTCGACAACTTTACTGCAGGGGTCATAGGATTCTTCACAAAGTTGCAATCAGACAGACCAAACCTTTGCAACACTTCTCCAATATACTTTTGTTGGTTGATGAATATACCAGCTTTAGATTGATGTACTTCAACTCCCAGGAAGTATTTCATTTTTCCTAGGCCAGTCATCTCAAACTCAGACTGCATTGACCTCTTAAACTCTTCTATCATTTCTGCACAACTGCTGGCATACATTAGATCATCGACATAAAGGCTCACAAGCAGAATGTTACCTCCTGATTCTTTTATGAATCCAGTCTTCAGAAAATATGCCTCGATTCTGCTATACCAGGCCCTAGGCGCCTATTTCAGTCCATATAGGGCTTTCTTCAGTTTGTAAACCTTGTTTTCTTCACCTGCAACTACAAATCCTTGGGGCTGCTCGATATATACATCCTCAGTTAGCTCACCATGTAGGAATGCAGATTTGACATCAAGTTGAAACACTGCATAGCCATGGTGTGCAGCAAAAGCTAGCAGTGTTCTGATAGTGTCCCACCTAGCCACAGGAGCAAAAACTTCTGTAAAATCAATTCCAAACCTCTAAGCATACCCTTTTGCCACCAGTCGTGCCTTGAATTTGTCAATGGAGCCATCCTCTCTTAACTTAGTTCTGAAGATCCACTTGACTCCAATGGGAGTGATACCTGCAGTTAGTGTTGTTAGTATCCATGTTTCATTCTTAACAATGGAATGAAACTCCTGCTTTATGGCCTTTCTCCACTTCTCTTCTTTTTCTGCTTCTTCAAAGGTTTTTGGATCATCATTGACAGCTACCATAGCCAAGCAATCTGTGTCAATGTAGTAGTTACAGTCATAGATTGCTAAGTGACTAGGTGGATGCCTCACTCTTTTTCCCAGATTGCCACTTGGTAGCCCCAACACATCAGGACTTGCTTCTTCTTCATCCTCCCCTAAGTCCTGATTTGGTGTAGTTGGTGTAGGTGACAGTGAAGATGAAGCAGGATTTGCAGTTTCTGTAGCAGCAGGTGGTTCAGTTTCTCCCTCCCCTTCTTCTTCTTCAGAGTCATACCAAGGCTTTTCACTTCCTTCCCAGATAACCCGAGTCAGAACAGGTTGAATTTTTGAATCCCAGGTCCATCCTTCTTCTTCATCAAAAACCACATCCCTGCTGATTACCCCTTTCTTTGTGACAGGATTATAAATTTTATATGCTTTGGATTCAGAAGAGATACCCAAAAAATGACACTTTATGCTCTTGTCATCAAGTTTTCTTCTCAATTGATCATTAACATGAACATATCCCACACAACCAAAGACTTTAAAATGATCAAAAGAGGGTGGAGCTCCTGTCCAGAGTTCCTGAGGTGTCTTACCAGCATTGGCTGCAGTTGGACTCCTGTTCAATATGTGGGCAGTCCAGGCTACTGCTTCAGGCCAGAAGTGTGCATGAACTTTGATATCTTCCAATGAACACCTAACCATGTTCATAATGGTAATGTTCTTCCTTTCTGCATTCCCATTTTGCTGGGGAGTGAGAGCAGCAGTAAGCTGTCTCC